GAATACGGCGATGTGTGTGCATGGGAGTGTGTGTGAGTGCGAGCACGCGCACGGATTTTCTTGTCTTCTATGGGTATTTCCTCGGAGAAATGTGAGAAAAAGATTGAATAAATACATAATAAAAAAATTAATGAAAGAAAAAACAAATGGTCGGGAAGTTATTGGTGCGACCCGTAATGGGTCACATCCAATTCCACCAACCCCTACCGGTCATACCCTAAAGAGGGAGCGCGCGAAGCGCGCGACCGTGCCTGATTTTTTTTGTTTTTGGATTGATAACAATGAATTTCTGTTTTTGAACTCCCAACAATGATTTCCAAATCGAAAACATGATTTCGATTCACGGAAGTTGAATTTCATAATTATTTCCATAGCTACAATTATGAATGGTAATAAACCAAATGTTCCGTTATATATTTTATCTCGTTTGCGATAAAAATGTATATAATAACGAAGCGGAAAATCTTTAGTTGAATAGTTGCATGTTGGAGGCATTAAAGTCGTTAGAGTGCATTGATAATATACATAGTTGATGTACAGAGAGAGAGAGAGAGAAATAGATTGTGAAGAGAGTAGGAAGGGAAGCACGGGGGCGTGCATGTAACAGTGGGGGGATAGTTAATGAGGATGCTGCTGATTATCCAATTCGTAAATTCTCGCTATATTTTGATCGCTCAATGCACACCAAGCGTGGATCAACGGGGCGTTTTGTCAAACACGTTTTTGTTTCATCTTTACTGTAATCTAGGAACGAGGACACTCTACTACAGTGGTTTAATAATCTTAATTCAGCGAAACAGAAATTTAAGATTTTTTCTCGAATCAATTATGAATATTCGTTGATTAAAATTCATAATTAAACAGGTGCATCCTTTTTAATGAAGCACCATCATTGATTTATCTTGAAGAAATTTGATGAATTAAACATACACGATGATGGGAGCAACCGTTCTGTCGAGTGGCATAGAGAAAATATATATTTTTATCACAAGGCCGGAATAGTACATTTCAACGCGAGTGAGACGGAAGTGTCACACGTGTGAAGTTGGCGGGCCGACGCGAAGCCGAGGGATTCATTCAAAAAATTTTGAAGGTGATTAAAAAAATGCGTTTTCTAGATTTTTTTTCATCAACTTGAAGGTCAACGTTTGTGAAGAATTCAGGATAATGTTCAAGGATAGTATTCAAAACGGTTCAGATGGCTACGTTAATGTCAACGATGACAAATTACATTTTTCTTTAAAATGCATGCAAGCAACTCATTAAGAGATAGACTATTCAACAGTTTATTTAACAATAAAGATTTTAGTAATTCCATTACTGTAAGTTATTCAGTGAGATCAGATTACTGAATAAACACAATTTTTTTTCGGAAATTACGCAAATGATTTTGGAAAAAAAATGATCAAAGGACTTGACTATCCTAAACCGAAGCCACGAATGAATATCATCGAATGAATATTCGCTTGAATTCGAGAGATTCAACTCGCGTTAATTTTGGAAATGGAGAAATGCTCCTATCCTCATCCCGCACACATTCATAAAATGTCGTGTAAACGACGCCTAAATCCGACGAGTTTATATCGTTTCAGTATCAACTGACAAGGATAAAGTTCCATTCGCTCTCTCCCATTTACTTACAAAATCCTCATAAACGCTTACTTAGCTCGTGCTCGTATTATGCTAACATATCATCGACGTTAACGTTGCATTATTCCCGGCGATTTTGTGGAGACAAGAGGAGATGACTCGTATTTCGAGGCACCAAATATGTCCGGACGAGGCAGAATAAGAAAACATGAATTATGTGAATACTTTGTTCATTTGGAAACTTACCTAAGGAGCTGTCTGGATCAGAGAGGTCCGAGAGAGATGGGACCTTTCTCATTGACGTGAATCTACCGGGAAGAGTGGGCACCAGGCCCTCCTCTTCTGCGTCAGAGGTCAATTCCTGCTTCATGTATTTTGCCATCATCATCATTACTCCACCGCCACCAAGACTTCCACATCCCAATATGCCACTTGATCCACGTGCATCTCGCTGAAAATTCAAAAGTCATTGATAATGAATTTTTCGCCGTAACGGGGAAACAAAATTCTTTGAGGAGTGCGTCTGTACTGTACTTGTCAACTCATGCACTCACAGCTCCAAAATTTTCAAGAGCATAATGTTTACCCTGGGAGAAGAAAACTTTCGTCAAGAGATTTTGCACTTGCTCTAAAGACAAGAACATTTTTTTATCTCAGGAAAGTGATTTCTCGAATCAAGTCAAGTTGAATAAATTTATCTCCTTATCGTATTCTAAAAAGAACATACACTTAAAGTCGATAACTATCGATATCTCGCAAGTCTGTCACGCTTATTCCTCATTGGTCTCAGTCGTCTGAGGCGGCAAATTTAATTCATGATTAATTGAATTTTGAGATTTTCAATTATGATTGTTACAATTACAGCGCGATGTAGCGCGCGTTCGATCTCGTATTATAAAAATCCAAATCGACTTCTGGTGATGAAAATTTGATAGTTGAAATGAAAACTCCAAAATTAAAGATCACAAGGGTCATGAGCGTCAAATTAAGGGTTACGAAGGTGAGAATAAGGGTCGCAAGGATTAGATTCAGGGTCACAAGGGTCAAATTAAGAGCCATGAGGGTTAGAATAGGGGTCACGAGGATCAGATTAGGGGTCATGAGGGTCAGAATAATGATCTAAATAACGATCATATGGGTCAGATTAAAGGTCACAAGGGTCTAAATGCGGTCACAAGAATCATATTAAGGGTCACTGTAGGGGTTGAAATAAGGATTATGCACGGAGAGAAGAGCCATGGGAAAGAGTCCCATGTCAAATTTACGACTTGTATGTATTTCTAAAATTTAGGAAGCATTACTATGCTATGGTAATGATTCCTATTGGGTATGGTATTGCATACTATGGGCCATGGTAAGTCTCTCGATGGGAATGAAGCCTATGAACATAGGAGAAATTACTATATTGAATAGTACCCTCTACCATGTTACAGGGTAGAGTGTACTATTAATTATGGTAAAGGGACCCATAGTCGTTTGGTAAAGTTTACCATATTTTATAGGAGAGATTACCATGCACTATGGTAACATGACCTATATTATATGGTAAAACGTGAAAAAGTCATAAAATGTCACGAATATAAAAGATAATGATCACTAAACTATATCATGATAATGATGAGTATAATGAGATAGAAATTTCAAGTGAGATATATATTTATATTTAACGTATTTGGTTTCGACGCTGTTTCAATAATTACAGAGGATTTTCTTATAATGTGGGATTCTTTTCTATTAATAATCATCAATATATCTAGATTAATCATATCGAATATCGTAAGGATCATATTTAACAATAACATATTTACATCAGTATTTTAATATCAGAATATACATATCTACAGAATAGTGGGATTTTTTGCCCCAAATTTTACCTAATCATTGGAAGAATTTTTGGCATTACGGTGTTATAAAAATTATTGAAAAATTCAAATGTGAGTAATTAAACTCAACAACTTTGCGTGAGAATCTAGACCCAACGTTTCGGAACGTATTGCTTTATAGCTATATACGATAGGATACAAAATTTCATTTGTCGAAATGTCAATGTCGACCACCTCTTATCATTTATATCAATTTCATAGGATTGGAAATGCCTTTCAGAGTATTCTTGTAATTGTTGAGTAACAAGAATAACTTGATTATTTGGCTCTAGGTTTACGATATTGATCAGATGTAATTGAGGACCAGTCTCGGTTGGCATCATCAATATTACGTTTTCTCTGATATCATGTCCCAAATAATTGAGAGAGCTTACTATTTTAATATCTCCAGATCGAATATACGGGAGAACTGGCAGAAAATGACTGGGCCGATGTTAATAAATCAAAAGCCGTTTTGGGTATTGCGTATAGACTAGGGGCTTTGTTTGCACAGCAGAGGTGCCAGTTACAATAATGATTCCGATTATAGTTCGTGTACCTCTTTTGAAATCGACTTATCTTGTTTTACCACATTGCGACAGAGTTCAAATCAGTAATGATTCTGAATAATTGAAATAATAAAGTACCACAATTTCAGATTAATGAATATAGAATTTACTTCTCGCAACACAAGATCATAATAAAGTTTTTTTAGTCGGTCAAACTCAAAGATCAAATGGTCCAAGGATGAAATTCTCGTATAGACTGTGAATAGAATATGAATTCGAGTCCAACAGTTCTCCCTGTACTCTACTGAACTTATCGAAACATTCTCATAGTTGAGTGAAACTCAATAACTCAAGTAACTGATTCCTAACCATCGAATCGTGCAAACGTCAAACTCTCACCCCAATGCAGCATCAACTTGTTAATTAATAGGATTCGAAATACAACAGAAACATCATCACAACTCCGAAACAAATTCCCCTGAATCCAACTTATACCCTTGAATACACCTTAAGAACGTGTACCGTATTACTTCCTCCATCATGTATCACCCCGACAACAGGTAGGAAAAATACCAGAACATCATGGAAGTTAATCGACCAGAATCGATAAACTATACAGAGTTTCTTTCTCGGTACTAGTTGCCAGAACCAAGTTAGTGATTTTAAGAAACTCAAGGTTCCAGAACATCACACTGAGAATAAGAAACTGGTTACTTAATTTCAGAAGAAAAGTTTACTCATCTCAAGTGAGGAAAATTGTGAAAACAGCTCTACCCTAAGAAATTCATACCTAATTAGTAGATTATTGTTCATATATAATTATTCATCCAAAGTACATTTGGTAAAATATTAAAATTGGTAAAATATAAATGAGTCATTGAGTTTGCTTGCAAAACGATCGAGTTTTTGCTGGAGTTGTCAAAAAATTTCTCAATTCTTTAAGGATGTTCGACACCGTTTTAGCCAAAATTGACATTGTTTTCATTTTTCTGGCAAATTATCGATGGGAGTGACGTGAAAAAATATAACGATTTTGTGGTTTGTCATTCTTTAATGGCTCACGAAGTTGCGTAGTGGTGCGATAATTTTCATGCGTTTTTCCGACAGTTTTGTGATTCTTTTTAAAAGTTTAGAGAAAACGCAGGAAAATGTTCGCACCACCTTAAAATTTCGTCAGTCATTAAATAATGACAAAACGCAAAAACGTTATATTTTTTCACGTCAATTCCATCATAAGTTTGCCAGAAAAATTAAAAAAACGTGAATTTTGGCAGAAAGGGTGTGGAACATCCTTAATATTTAGGGGAGACTACGATGAGTTTCAAGGTCACGGGCTATTGAAGTGAGATTTTTCATACATCTAAAAATTAATAGTTACTGCAAAAAATTAATTGTTTATTGTTGGTTTATTGTTGATTTGAAAATTTCATAATTTGAGAATAATTTTCTCGCTAGATTTCAGTAGGACAGAGCTTTGCAATAGAAACTGATTTTATTCTTTATATTTTACGAATTCATGTTCATTCCATTTCAAAGGAAAAAAATAATACGTTTACGAAAAAAAATGAAAACGTGATATGTAATGACGATTGGACACTGGGCATGAATGAACAGGGAATCATGCCGTAAAAAGAGGGGAGTCGAGTCGTTGGCGAGACGGTGGACATGTGAGGTGGAGAAGGGGTAACTGGTTCCCAATGGCTAAAAGGAAGGGCAACTGTCCAACATATACAACAAAGACGTTTGAAAAAAGCAATCAAGACAAACTGGTGAGGCTTTCGCAGAAGATGGACAGAGAGAGATGAATAACGACCAAAAGTGTAAACGAGGACAGTGTAACTGGGGATGGAAAAGAAAAAAAGGTAGAAGGGAGAGGGAGAGACACCAGTCGAGTGTATCCAACATCGCGGCTCGACCGCTTGACCTTCATGAGGCGAAACAAAGTGAATGAAAACACTGACAAGTCACATGTACACATGTTAGGGGATTGTGGCGTGACGCAACGAACGGTTGAGCAAACTAATCGGTGGATGCATGTAGAGTATGTAACTTTTTTCTATACTGGAATATGCGCGCGCTGATCTCGAATTCCATCCTCTTTATTAAGGAAGGGATGGAATTTCCATAATTTCAATTTTTTTTCATTGAAATTATGGAAAATATTTCCTGTTGTCATGTCCTAATGAAATATCCTATCAATTTTATGACAATTTTGGGAATGCAGTATAGAAATGAATCTCAAGAATGTTATGGCGATGTGCCATAAATGCAAAGAAAATTCTCGATCATAATCAGGCTTGAAGATTCCACATTCGCTCACGAAATTTCAAATAGCTGTTGAAAATCGTTTAGAACATAATGCAATAGTAATTTTTGGAATTTCATGTGAGCTCTTATGTCTGCATTGTTTTACATCATCTTGTGTGCTAAACGACTCTACCTGGTATTTATGTAAAGTACTAGATAACACCAACTCGATGAACGTAAAGTCACTGATGAAAATTGGTTTCCGCAACTAGTGCTGTGGGGTTGTTTGAATCATGCGATTGGCAGAACTCCCTTTCAGCCGAAGGCTCGTGCTATAAACCTCCCACGAGCCAAAAAACCCTTTTCCCACGAGTATCGAACGATATTTTTCATCACAATGTGCGGAAAAGGGACGTTTTAGGCACGCGATGCGTTGACTGCTGGTCAAATTATGCGTCTGCTACAAACTCGGGTCTACAACTCAGGCTTTCAATTGAAAGCCCGAGTTGTAGACCCGAGTTGTAGACCCGATCAATAAAGCCACATTCGTCAGAAAATACTTTGTGGACCTTGTGATGAAAATAACTATTCCGCATTCGTATCGAAATATACTACTTTGACACTGCTGCTACGTTCACGTCGTGCCGAAAAGTGCCTTTTTGTTTACTCGTAAACAAAAAGTAAAGGGAAACTCTTTTCGTTTACTTGTAAACGAAAAACGCACAGTTCGACCACTTGCTGAACATAACATCACTGTCAAAAAATATTGTTCGACACAAGTGAGACGGTAAAGTCCGTCTCACTCGTAGTGTTGCCGAATTGGTGACTTTGTC